CATCACACACCAATCCTACTTAACTAAATGTTGTCATATGCATGATTACATGCGATAAACAGCTTGGTACATCACACACCAATCCTACTTATCTAAATGTTGTCATATGTATGATAACATGAGATAAACAGCTAAATAAATCACACACCAATCCTACTTAACTAAATGTGGGCATATGTACGATAACATCAGATGAACTTCTTGGTAGATCACAAACCATGGCATGTGTATCGTATTATTTGTGAAGGATGACACTACTAAATCCCAAAAGTCTAGAAAATGTACACCCATGCCACCAAATATACGTCTCATTATCCTATTCATATTGTAAAATGTCCAATTGTTACTATGTATACGTTGCTCAAATGTAAAGTTGTCACGTGGATTACAGAGTTTAATCAGTATTTTTGTATTTGGACATTTTTGTATCAATCTTTGGATCGCACGTTTTGCTGGGTAAATTCGTTCTACGTAGGCTCTTGTTGACCACATGCCAAAGTGAAAACACATATTTAAAACAACAACACCAATTTTATTTTGGCAGTTGCTTTGAGTAAAATTGTCAATCAAATCACTCTCAAATATATCATCGGATGCTACCGTTACATCCAGACTACCAACACGGGGTACTGTAAAATGGTTGTGAAAACCGGTGAAACTAAAGTTTTTACTTAAACAGTCTTTTATTTGACGGACAGTAGAATCACCGCTAACTATGAATTCCTTATCAGATATACACTTTTGAGCTTCATCTTCTGTCCACTGCTGGCTACGACAAACCATAGGCTCAAATTTGACTTTATTTACCCAATGACCATCAGATAATGGAATAGGTAAATCTGGTCCACATGGCAACAGTCTTGGAGAATGTGGAGTCCCATCTGTGTAAACAAATTGAGGGGAAAATAATCTTTATCCAACAATCTTTATTGAATTCATTTCCACATATTTGTTAACATGTGATTAGAGATTATTATTAATATATCCATTAATCCATATTAGTATAATATTCCCATTTGTGTGAACTTATTGTGGCGACTCTGAATATCGAACGTCGACACCAGTAATTTAGCGCGTTTCGTTCAGATTTCTATGGATGACTCTTTTATCGCACACGGAACCGATTTATTTGATAATAACATTAGTTTTGACAACTGTTAATGCTTGTTGATTGAAATTACCCCAGACCATTCGTCCCGGTGTTATCGCTATCGCCACACGAGACTCCAGCTTGTCTCCTATACAATTTTCCTTCCGCCCACTTAATTTTAATATTCATATGACCTTTGCACTGACATCGATAGCCAATCGCATTCGACCGCGGACGTCACTCTAAATAAACAACTGAATAAATTAATATACCATATTTGGAAGATAGCGGGTAAATTCAACGTTGTTGGTGTGTTCCTTCGGGTTCCGAAGTCGCACGAAACGAGTT